ATGTTTTCTCCAACAAGGAATTTGATCACAATGCATTGTTCCATGCTCCACGGTACCTTCTGTTCGCTCATTACTCTGGCAACTCCCAGACAGGACTGAACAGGAGGGAGGGTGGAGGTTGTGGCTTCACTCTCTTAAGGTCGCACAGCTGCTGCTCAGTGCGGCTTGTTTATGAAAAAATCAGTCCCGGTCATATTTGAACCATCTGGTAGTTTCAGATTTCTTTTATCATCAGTGGATTTTTCGTTTTCAGTTTTATGCCTGCTTCCCCTCGACTTAACCACTTTTCTATATTGTTCCATAAGCCCTTTTGCTTTAAAATTGAATTTGTATATCTGCCGTGGTATCCGGTATCCTTGTATATATTCTTTTTGCTTGGTTGGACAGTTGTAGTCATTTCTCTTCTGGCTGTGTTAATAAATTGTGGATTCCAGTTTCTTCTGTAGAACCTCAAATCTCATAGTAAGGAAGGCATGTGTTACATATGGCTGTGTTACACAGGTGTATTGTACAGCACAGACATGTAATAATTGTGAATGTGATTACTTTAACACGAGCCAAATATTTTATTGTATAATCATGATGATATTGAAAAATTGCAAAAGGTATTGAATACTTCAATATATACATGTCATTCCAATAATTTTAAGGCATTTGTATTTGGAATCTGAACAATCACTGCTGTGGAAAACTTGGACTTCATAATTGGAATTAGAATTTATAATTTAATCACATTTGTAAGGATGTGAATTAATTAATGTTCTGTGTGTTGCAGACTGGATCGTTTCAGTTATTTGTAGATGGTTATAAGGATGCTGACTACTGGTTAAGAAGGTTTGAAGTAGACCCCTTACCTCCAAAAGTGCAACGAGAATTCCAATTACAATTTGAACGACTTGTAGTTCTTGACTATATCATACGAAACACTGATCGGGGTAATGACAACTGGCTTATTCGATATGATCAACCAAACATTCAGTCAGCTGCTGTAACTGGTGATGAGTTGGAGGATGCAACGGTGGGTAAGGTTAGGTCAATTTACATTGCAGTGTAGATTTTGATTCTGTCAAAGTATAGTTAAGCACATAATGACAAATGACATGTTAGTTATATTGCTGCTGTGTTCGCAGGAAATGTCATTAATTCTGATTGTCGTCTTCTGGTATTAACTCCTCATAGTCTTGCAGATGGATACCAAATTCTTGGAGGGGCATGTGGCCACTATCTTCACGATTGAAGGTATTAGGGTGGGATGCATCCAGGTTATATAGCAGGGGTACCCAAATGTGTTGAATGTTAGAGCCATGTGTGACGATATCTTTCAGAAGTTTAGGAGCTGCAAGTAGGTCTGAATTAGATAGCATAGCTGTGTAGGTACATACTTTCCTTGCAGCATATGTTTCATATTTAATTCATCTGTGAAAAGGGGATTGAGTAATATTTTTTTCTGTTGATTGCGTTGATAATTTAATATAGTCGCACACAGCTTTCAAGCCACAGTTTAATCAGGTCTGTTGTATAAGCAGGGTAACAAGTGGTTACTCAGTTTCTCCAAAAGGTCAGTATTCATATGCAAGACTACACGGTGTCAAAACCAGAAGACCGCAATAAGAATACCAACCAGCATGAAAACCTCAGTTCTTACATGTTATTAATTCTTGAAATTAATGGTAACAGTTATTTTTTTATCGTTTGTTCGTCCTTCCTTTCCTTCCTTCCTTCCTTCCTTCCTTCCCACTCCTTCAAAATGGCATGTCCTGTATTTTTAAACTGAAAGTCTGGCAAACATTGGATTTATTTCAAGATTAAAACAGTTTTGTTATGTTACTGTTTAGAAAAACTGCATGTTTTGTTTTACTATTTGCAAAATTATTATCTACCAGACTACACAACATTACATTCTTTGACCCTGAAGATGAAAGCAGCATGCAGAGTATGTCTTCTGGGTTGTAGTGCTGTGCAGTGCAGAGAAACATATTGCCTCTATCTTCAGTGTCAAGGAGTAAGCCAAGTAAGAAACTAGTAGAAACAGGTGGCAAGCTGAATTCTTTGACCCTGAAGATGAAGGTGATATGTCCCTCTGAAAATTCACATTTTCTCTGAACTACATGGTGCCACAACAACGAAATTACTCATGGTCACGGCTCTAAAAATCTCAAGTTCAATATGAGAGCAGTATGTTCCTGTGGGACATTGGTAAACCTCAACCAGACCACACGTCATAACATCCCAGAATACAGTATTCTTTTGAAACATTTTTATGTAAGATTTGATGTTCTCACAGCCATGACTGTTTTATGGTATGTGATACCATATACTAGTCTGGTAGGAAAATAATACAGTCTGCTAGACTGTACAGCATCACATTTCAGGAGACAGTGATCTTCATAAAAGTTAATGTAGTAGTTTAATTTCAACCATTATTACATGTTTAAAGAATTGGCCATTCTGTACAATGCTTATCAGTATTTAAATAGCCTTTATGTAAAATATTTGTCAGTATTTTTGTGTTTGTGTGTTCTTATTCTGGTTAAGGAATGTTCCATATTATCAGCATCACTTAGTAGCATTAAGTGCAAGATCATAATGAAAGATTAATGAATTCACTGTAATGTGTTTGATCAGGACTGGAACTTGGTGCATTTGCCAGAGATAGCCCTTGCAGCTATTGACAATGGTTTGGCGTTCCCCTTCAAACATCCTGATTCTTGGAGAGCGTATCCATACCACTGGGCGTGGCTTCCACAGGCCAAGGTTCCCTTCAGTGAGGAGACACGAGAACTTGTCTTACCACAGCTGTCAGATATGAACTTTGTTCAGGACCTTTGTGATGACCTTTATCTGCTATTTAAGGTCAGTACATTATATTTATTTGATGGAATGAGGATACCTTGGGATGCCCCCTAAACAATGATTTAGCCAGGTATTGGAAGAGAGCAAAAAAAGAAGAGCTGGCATAAATTACAAAGGAAAAATGTTGAAAGGAAGAAGAGATATGAGATTTCACACATTGACCTGTATAAAGTGGAAATGATGCCAGGAGGAGGGAGGGTGGTGGTGGCAGCCATAGAAGAGCGAAGCAGTTGCTTATACTCCTATATATGCCGTGGTCTCCCAAATTGTCTCTCTTTTTTTTTTAGGTTTTCTGACATTTTGTAGCAATTTATTATTACCACTGTGCACTCTACATGACCTGCCGATCTAATACTCCTTGAGTTGATAATTGTCTATGGTGAAGAACAGAAATTGTGAAGCTCCTCATTATGTAATTTTGTCCATTGTCCTATTACTTCATATCACTTTCATTGCACTCAACTTGGATCTTTGCTCTTACCTTAGGGTGAAAAGCTGGGTTCCATGCCCACATGAAACAGCAGATAAACTTACAGTGTGTTATAATTTTAAGGTGTAGTTTCTTTACACATGAGGCTGGAAGGTAACATATAGATCTCCATCAGAGCCTTGAAGCCAAAATTTTCCATTGTCATGATCTGTATGATGTATAGTGACAAAATCAAAGGTTTGCTTAGCAAAACAGCCGAGGCAGCACAGTCAGCATAGCGACTGGCTATGGGCTGGACAACCAAGGGGTTGGAGTTCAAGTTCCAGTGGAGGCAAGAATTTCTTTCTCTCCATGTTGTCCAGACTGGCTCTGGGGCCCACTCATCATTCTATCCAGTGGGTACTGGGGGAGGCTGGGGCATGAAGCTGACCACTCACCTCCAGCTAGTGCTGAGGTCAAGAAAACATGGGTTTATGCATCCACTCCCCCATATGTCTTCATTGCATACTGCTTAATTAGATAAGCAGAGGGACAAGTTTACTGTTTACAGTCTTCTTGGATGTGACACCATATAGTCCAGTAGGTGGTTACAGATATTTTGGAGAGACCTGCTGCTTCCATGTTTTCTCCTGAAGATAGAGGTGGCAGTTCCTCTGAAACATTGTAACCATCTACCAGACTATACGGTGTCACATCCAAGAAAACTGTACTCTTATTATTTACTACCACAGGAAATACAAATCTCAGAAGATTTTGTTTTCATTTGATGTAAGTCACCTTCCAGTGAGATTGTTGCATCACATGAATTTTGTATCATTGTGATTTCATATTAATCTTTTTATTCAAGAACTAGCTGTACCCGGCCACGTGTTGCTGTGGCTCAGTCTGGTTAAATGGAAAAGAAGGAAAAGAGAAAGCGCACGTTTCTAATATGTTTAATTTCACAATGCTTGTGGGTATACAATATTTTTTGTTGTTCCATTGTCTGTGCAGATATAGAGACTATCTGGTTTGCCGACTCTAGAACACGCAACATATAATTGTCCATCCATGTGAGAAGCAACCCGTGTCTAGATCTAAACCGCACAGTTCTAAAGATTGGCCCTGAGCTTTGTTGATGGCGATTGCAAACGCCAGTCGAATTGGGAATTACAATCTCTTAAATTGAAATGACATATTCTTGATGTCTTTTAAATTGACGCATTATTTACGTGTACTTTGATAATAAGAATATGTCATGTGTTACCTATGTAACGTTGTTGTGGTCACGTGTCTCCTAGTCAGTGCGACAGATAACTTCCACGTACGTCTCAGGTTCAGCGAATAAGTTATTTTACACCAGCGAGTACAATTATTATCATGTCCAGTATCACCGAAAAACCCTTCGGAGCTGGACTATTATAACCTGGTTTCGGACGCAATAGAGGGCACTTTCACCCAGGATTCGATTTCACGTGTTCTGTGCTCGTTGCCACAGAAATGCATTATTTCCGCTGTTTCAGCAGTTCGTTGCCACGGTTATTCCTAGGCAACGACCTGTTGGTATTTGATTTGTCGCTATGGGAACTCAACAATTTCAATTGTAGCCGTTGCGCAGCGATGGGCAGCGTATAACACGTTACAGTATATTAATATTGAGTACAATTAATATTTTAACCAATCAACCTGTCACAGGTGTGACATATATATATAATAGGTATATAAAAATGCACGTACCCGAATGCAACGTTGTGTCAAAATTTCAAAGCAGTCGTTGAAGAACTTTCGGGGATTTAAGATCCTGAACAAACGGACATTTACATTTTTATTTATATAGATAATGCAGTGGAAGTATTAGTCTATAACAGCACAGTGACAAACTTGAATGGTATTGAAGTTAACTAACTTGGCAATTAAAAGCAACAGAACCAAACATGTAATGACAGTTAGCAAAAATGTCAAGTTACACGACTTCTCTGGAAATGCAGCTACTGCATAAGTTTTGGGACACCTGTATAGTTCTGTCTCTGAAATGGTTTTGTTTTACATTTCAGCAAGATAAAGGGTTTGATCGACATATGTTTGAAAGGCAGATGAGTGTTATGAGGGGTCAGATTCTGAACCTGACACAAGCGCTGAAGGACGGCAAGAGCCCAGTGCAACTAGTGCAGATGCCAGCGGTAATTGTGGAGAGGTACAGTTTCTCATCACATGTGCTTGTTTCTGTCTTCAACAAAATTATCTGGCTTGTGGCAGTTCTTTACTGTTAACCTTTATCGGACGGGCCATTTAATTTCCGGTAGGGACAGCTGGACAGAGTTTATTTAAATGCCCGCCCTTCTAGAGCAATGAAATTGTAAGCATGTTTCTAAAAATGGTGTGATTTATACATTTTTTATGATAAACGAACGAAATGAACGCTCCTTTAATGTAGAAAGAATATAGAATCAGATATTCTAATTTACAGATTTTAATATCTGTAAAAAATTTTTACACTGATTCCAAAAAAAAAAAATCCTGAAATTCATACATGTTCTACACCATCCGTTCCAGCAGTGTAATTCATTTTCTGCACCATGCGTTTTAGCAGTGTAAGTCCTTCGTGGCGACCTCACATACAATGCTATCTCTTGTTGAAGCTTATTTATCGTATGGGACATGTCGGTATGCAGGACTGTGGGCGTCTGAAATCGCTCGCTGTGTAATATCTGTTAGAAAGACACAGGAGTACATTCTCGGAATATGGTGTTGCCAAATCGGTCATTCGTTCATTCATTGCAGTCAAACCATTGTGTTTGTAACGATTTTGAAACATCGCAATATAAGGTTAGCCACCCATGACATCATGTAGCAGATATTGGGTTCAGAGAAGTCGTGAATGAGATTTTTGTATGTGTGGGCTCGAGGTTAAGATTTATGGCTTCTTATCGTGGTCTAAGCACAGAGATTCACTGCTAGCACTGCTAGAGAGCCGTATACACGACGTCGTCGTATGGAAAATGCTGAAATGAGACACAGATTCGGACTGCTATTCAACCGATTCTGAATGTGGCGTGGAAGGTTGGTCTTCTGATGCCTGAAATTGAGAAAGAGCTATTCAATGACACAGATTATGATAGGGGCGAGCAAAGTTGGAATTCTGATTCCGCGGACGACGGGTCATCACCTTCGTCGGCAACTTGGGGACCGCCAGACCAGTGTGGCTGGAGAGGTGTGAATAATTATTCCGGTGTAGCTGCGGGGATAAATATCACTGCAGCTCGACATCACTGGCCTGCTTCCTCTAAATCGCAACTGAGGTGTCGTGTGTGCTTTTCGCGTGGGAAGCGGTCTAGCGTTCGTACGAAGTGCGTGAGCTGCGACGTCGGACTCTGCATTTCGGAATTTTTTCGGCAGTACCATACGAAGGCCACATTACCATAGATGACGCAGGGGGGAAGGCTGTTTCCTCATGAAGATGGTGAACATATATCACGTAAGTAGAGCAAAAATTTAATTTTAAAAAAATCTTTACACGCGTGCAATGCGCGAAATCATATGAGGTCGTTCGGCCATATGACGTTGGTAGATTACATTAGATCACGCAGGAGGGAAGGCTGTCACCTTATAAAGGTTGTGACCAAAAATCATGTAAATAGAACAACAATTTATATTTTGAATTTAATTTTAAAAAAATCTTTACACGCATGGAATGCGCGACATCATATGATGTCGTTCGGCCATTTGGCCTTACTTTTAACGTCATATGACGTCGCTAGATTACATTAGATCATGCAGGAAGGAAGGCTGTCTCCTTATAAAGGTGGTGACCAAAAATCATGTAAATAGAACAACAATTTATATTTTTAATTTAATTAAAAAAAAAACTTACACCCGTGGAATCCGCGACATCATATGATGTCGTTCGGCCAGCTGCCCTAACTTTTAACGACATCATATGATGACGTTCGTCTGATAAACGTGAATGCATGGTTACTTTGTGCAGCTCATCTACGAATATGAAAACAAAAAAAAAGTAACGTAAGATTTGAGGTTTTCATGGCAGTGACTATGAAGAATGCTGTCTTCTGGGATGTGGCACCATGTACAAGGTGGTTCAGATATGACTATAAACATAATTGCCAAACACTTACTTGTACATATCAGTCTTCAACGTACTCCCCTCCAGAGTTAACACATTTTTTCCAACGTTCTGGAAGCATCCTGATACCCTTTTTAAAAAAGGCTTGTGGTTGGTGGCATATCCATTCCCGAACAGTCTGGATGACGATGGCGTTGTCCACAAACCGCATGCCTTGCAAGTCTGATTTGAGCCCTCTGAACAGGTAGAAATCAGTTGGGGCCAAATTGGGACTGTACAGCGGATGTGTCAGAAAGTTCCATTTCAATTTCCGGAGGGTTTCCATCATTGTTTTGGCTGTATTGGGCCGTGCATTTTCTTGAAAGAAGGCTACCTGCTTTACACCTGTCTTTCGCTTGGATCAGATCTTTTTCTTCACGTCTGTTGCCAGGAGGTCTGAGTAATAAACTGCATTGACTGTTCTGGCATCTGTCAGAAAGTCTACATGGATTACCCCCTGCCAGTCCCAGAAGAACATTGCCATCACTTTTCCTGCCGAACAGCTCCTCTGTGCTCTCTTGGGTTTGGGAGAACTGGTATGCCGCCACTCGCATGATGACTGCTGGGACTCGGAAGTGAAGTAGTGCACCCACGTCTCATCGGTGGTCACTATAGACTTCAAAAATGCATCACCTTCATCTTCAAACTGCTGTAGGAGACAACTGGCAGCTTGCATGCGCACCATTTTGTTCACGTCCATCAGAGTGCATATTACCCACCATGCATTCACCTTGCAATAGTGCAGGTGGTATTTCACGAAGTCTTCTACACTACGAACACTGATGGACAGCATTGCTCCAAGTTCCTTGATAGTGATGCGCCTGTTCTCACGAATAGGCGCGTCTGCATGGTCAATGTTTGGTTCGGTGATGGATGTTCGCAGCCAACGATCGTGCGGTTCATTCTCCATATGCTCTCTGTCCTCTCTGAAGCACTTCCACCACTCAAACTCACAGGTCCGTGAGAGACACTCTTCCCCATACTGTTGTTGGAGTCTGTGGTGAATTTCAGCGGACAGGACGTTTTCTCCAACGAGGAATTTGATCACAATGAGTTGTTCCATGATCCACGATACCTTCTGTTCGCTCATCACTCTAGCAACTCCCAGACAGGACTGAACAGGTTCTAATCCAAACAAGAGGGAGGGTGGAGGTTGTGGCTTCACTCTCTCAAGGTCGCACAGCTGCTGTGCAGTGCGGCTTGTTTACATACAAATCAGTCCTGGTCATATTTGAACCACCTTGTAGATCTAGCATAAAGTGACGTTCCTTTGAACGTCAGTTTACACTAGATCTACATGGTGTCACATCACAGAAGGTGGCATTCTTAAAAAAATGGCAGGTCAAAAAGATCCGTAATGCACAAGTGCAGCAGCAGGCTGGTTGTATACCCACACAGATGTTGAGAAGGAATGGAGTTGCACCTCCACTTCCCTATACATACTTATGTATGGTACTCCTAAATGTCCCTTCTGGTTTCTCCTACTCCATTCTGCATTTATAATCGCATGATGCTAGATATGGGGGATTGCCTGTGGACCTCGTATGTCAAGTGGGACTTCTTTGTTTATAATCATCCAACATGTGATTTATACTGATCCTTGACATGTCTCAAGTGAGAGCAGACATCCGCAGAATTTGTTAAGGGAAACATAAATTCTACCAGGGACACAGTGGCACATGCACCCACATAGAGATATCATACCGACCTCAAGCATAGAGCCAAAACAGATTTGTAAATGTGCATGTAGCATAACAATTCTGGTGCGTTTGCTAATTTTGTTTACCTCAGGAGCCATAATATGTACAGAAAAATTGTATTGCACATACAAATGTTTGTTTCAGTATTGCTCTACAACATTTGTACTGAAAATTGATCATTGACATTCATCTGTTGGATAAAAGAATGCATGGACTTGTGCCTCCATACATTTCTGTGGTTTGATGCTTAAGTACAAGGACAATTTATATAGGGTTCCTAAACATTCCTTCTATCGTATCCTAATCCACCTTCCTCTTGTTTATATTTCCAGGTCCAAAGGACATGTAGGTACAACATCACGCTTCCGTTCTTTCAGCGACACTTTCACGCAACGCTTCCAGAACAAAAGCCCCTTCTTCTCTTGGTGTTGATGGTGTCATTGGTGTCTTCAAGGTACTTCATTGTGGAAAGCTGGAACAGACGGACATTTTATTGGACGCCTTGGGAAATGGTGTTCGTAGTGGCAATGCAGCTGTGTAAGCAGAGACGGAATCGTCGATGAGACGTGATGGTACAGGTAGCGTTCTAAGTATGATGGTGTATCATAGTTATTTGTAGTTCCACCAAGACTGAAATAATTGGCAGTGTCCTTGTTACATTGTGATGTGGAACTGTGTTGTGATATGCTTGTGGTTCAGACACTTGTCTTGTGCATGCTGAAAATGTATATTTAGAATTTTGTGAGAAGAATTCAGTTTACAATAGATTTTGGGTACAACATTATATTTATGATTGTGGAGATCACTGTTTTCTGAGACGTGATGCTGTGTAGTTTGGTAGATATGTTCCAGTGTTTCGAAAAAGTCTGCTGCCCCCACAAGGCATGGCATTGCATCCCAGAAAACAGTAATATATGTGGTCATCAACATGGGAACCCTGTGTCATGTCTGTTTGCAGATTGCTGTTCGCTAGGCTATGACACTGGGGTCCGGTGGGTGGAACCTGATGGCTTCATCTTCATGGTAGAAGTGATAGAAGCCTTTTACTCTGAAGATACAAGCATTGTGTTCCTCTAAAATGTTGGTGCTCACTGGAGTTGATGGTGTCATAACCCAGATGATCACTGTGAAAACATGAAGTCTGTTATGAATTTGTGATATTTACATGTTTATACTTCCTCCAAAGAATTGTGTTGGAATGTTTTAAATTGTGGTTTTTCTTATTAATCTACACAGTGACTATTCATTGAGGCCATATTTAAAATACCCCCCAAATGCTGTAGTGATGCTTTCTATGAAATTTAATGGAAAAAATATGCAGAAGGGCACTGAAGTTTTTCATGGCATAATAATAATAATCAGGCAGAATGGAAGTAATAAAGTTGCTATACATCTTCATTAAGTGCGTTGTATCTGTGGTGGAGAGCATAGGCAATCTCAAAAGTCAACTGTGTGACTGAAAGAGAGCATTTTTTATCTTCTGTGCATGCCATGGACCCTGTAACATTTGTAAATGAACTATGTGTTCATAAATTTTTTGTGATCATGCTGTTTCTACATACTGGGTGACCCATCAGGATGGTGGACTGGACCATCAGAGTTCCATACTGCTCTACAGTCTGTCCCAAAACTGGAATTGTGATTTCCAGATAAGGAAAATTAACCTTTTTTAATTTGACTGTACTCCATAAAGAAACATGTATTTTTTTATGATTTCATAGAAGCTATCTTTTTTTTTTTGTTCAAAAGAACTGTGTTAAAGTTGTATAATAGGAGAATGTGGTCATATCTCCCTCCTTAGTAAGATTACTGTCATTTTGATAAAAGGGGAGTACTAGTCTACATATAATTAATGTTTTAGTAATGTTTTTAATATCAGCCAGAAGTTCATTGGTTCTCTCGTGTAGTTCCTTACAGTTTGCTTTACAAGTTCACTTTAAAATGATGAGCTGTGTATATATGCATGAAAGCAGAGCACAGACATATGTTCAATATGCCATGCGCATTTTTAGAAAATGTGTTGTCTACCTGTTTATTTTTATGTTGTTATATGGTTCCTCTAACTGGATGCATATATATATATAATCATATCTTGTGTTTCTATTATCTTTTGAGTTACATAGTCCCTCAACATGGGTGTCTTTCAGGATGTGACCCTTGTAGCCCAGTAGCACCCCAGAAAGTAAATCTCTACATTGCTCTGAAAATTGGCTCAATTTCCTGTCTTCAGGTGGCAAGGTTATGAAGAGATTCATACACTGTTGGGCTCTCAGTAGAGTGATCCTGATAACCTGGCCCCAGTAGCTCTACCAAGGAGCCCAGCAGAGTAGAAATTTTCTTATACACTCTCAACCAGAAGACAGGAAAGGATCAATGTCAGATTTGAGGATCTCTCACTTATGACTGCAAAAATTACTCCCTAATGGAATATGACCATGTAATTTGGTAGAACCAACGTTCCAGAGCAACCTGTTAGCCTGAAGGTGAAGGCGACAGGTTGCTCTGAAGCATTGGTACATGTCTATAACAGATGAGCGTTGTCACATCTGAGAAGAAAGTAGTCTTCATAAAGACTGCAGTGAGAAATCTGAAATCTTATGTAGGTTTTGCATATTTCATGTAATTGTTTCCATAAGCCTGTTTTGCAGTTAAAAATTATGGTACCTGGATGTTTCTTTTTTTTTAATTTGCATAGTGGGGGGTGGAGTCCAACTGGGTCCACTCGGCACAGCAGCCATTCATTGGCCTATTGCAGCCTGCCCCAGGTGATTATGATGATGGAGGATTTGGTGGAATGAAGCTTGGCAGGGGAAACTGAAGTACTCGGAGAAAACCCGCCCCAGCCACTTTGTCCACCACAAATCCCACTTGACCAGACCTGGGATTGACCCGGGCCACTGCAGTGGTACCAGGAGTATTACTAATTGTTCCAACACAAATGACATGGGCCAATTCTGGCATATAATACACCACCCTTCAGAGTACAAAAGAAAGAAAGAAAGAAAGAAAACCAATAGAATAGAATTCTGGAAGATACTGGAAGAAGACGCAAGCACTTTGTCTGTCAGTCATGATTCAGCTTTACAGTTTTATCCCATTCACTGTATTTTATGAGAGGCTGTGGGCTGACCAGCTGAAGAAACAGGGTTCCATTCTCAGCAGAGGCAAGAGATTTTTGGCCTTAATGTAAAATTCAGGAATCAGCGTTAATTCCTGGGAGGAGCGAGAGATTTATTCTCTTCTCCACAGTTTCCACGTGGGTCTGGGGCCCACCCAGCCTCCTATCCAATGGACATCAGGGGTTCTTTCCCCAAAAATAATAAAGTGGGCAAAGTGTGAAGCTGGTCATTCAACTGCATCGTGCTGAACTTAAGAATATGTGGATCTGTACCTCCACTCCTCTGTATGTCTTCATGGTGTGATGCTTAATTAAGGACATGGACAGCTTTGTCACTGTATTTTGTCTACAGACAGGAAGAGAAATTTTGGCACATTTTTCTTCTATGCTCGACTCTGAAGGAAAACAGTAGTGTTGTTTTGTTGTGTCTTAATTTTGAGACAGGTTGTAGTTGTGATGTTATATCCTGATTAATTTGTAAGTTCTGGGTATTTGAAATATTATAGCTTCAGAAAAGAGTTTTCTTCTAAGTTAATGGAAGAGACATTTTGGTGCTGCTACATTTTTGACTGTCCTTAATATACTGTTCCATCAGCATGTTGGTGAGCTCTGTAAGTCATTTATCTGCTCAGTTTCTCTCCATGTGTTTTTAACTACAGAGCACAGTTAGGTCTCTGCGTAGCTTTTAAGACCAATTTAAATTTAAAAGCAAATATTGTTCTTCTCCCCTCCCCCCAAAGTGATAATTCTTGTAGCATGTACTAATGAAAAATATTTCAATCAGAATTTTAACTCCTCTAATTTAATGTTAAAAATAATGTAAACATCATCATTGAAATGATATCTGAGAAAATTATTTACATCATGTAATGAATGAACCAAAGTGTGAAATGTGACACTACGAGTTAATGGAAAATAATGTGTAACAGTTCTGGGTTACTTACCCATATGCTCTCTTTGAATTAAAAATTAATTTCTTGGATTTATTTCATCTAGATGTGGAGAACAAACGTAACCTCTAAGAATAATGCTTCTTGTTCACAGTGATCTGTGCATGTGGAGTGATTCACCAAGATTAATAATTATAATCATGCTGTAATTTCCTAATTAAATGAAACTTTGTGAATAAGTACCTTGGGGGTTGTGGAGACAACTGGGTTTTGGAAGATGTTGAAATTGGTTTCACTCCACCTGAAGACACAGGCCAATATTTGCTAATGTTGCAGCCAGCATGGGAGGAATAGATCAATGACTGAAGGAAATGCCATGAACCATGCACATAGACACTGGGTCAAACTTGCAAAGTACGCAGTATTGCCACGTTTCACTTTCATTGGTAAATTATTGCATGATTTGTAATTATTAATTCAGGCCCTCCTATGAGTTAATCAGCCTGTAGTAGCTGTTTTATTTAGCTACTCAGCGTTAACAACTGAGAATGATAGGAGTACTGGCCATTTATTTTTTAATCTTAAATTGACGAGGAACATCTGGATTCTCATTGAAACTGGAAACATATCTTTCTTGCTGCTCTGTAAAAGATAAGCAGTAACATACATTAATAACAGTGTACATATAACACTGCGTTTCTCCTTTGTTTAAAGTTTTGTGATTTCAATATAATTTTATCTCCCTATTATGAAAATGTTGCTCAAGTCTTCTGTCATCCACCATTTTTTTTAAACTGCTTTTGTGATTTGGGAGAGCACAATCTTCTGGGTTATAATGCTGTGTAGTTTGGATACAGCCTGACATTTGGGAAGAAAATATCACCTCCATTTTCAGTGTTAAAGAGTAAGCCAAACAAGAAATCAACATGACGCAGGCAGCAAACAAAGCTTTGCTTGCTGCTTGTTTGCGTTACTGGTCATTCGTGAAGATGGACATGATATGTTCCTCAGAAACATCAGTAACTTTCAGCAGACTCTTGGTATTATATCCCAGAAGGTAGAACCCTATGTGCTGTCAGTAGTCACTGCTGTAAGAACTTAAGAACCTACATTAGTGATTTGCTTGAAAAATACAAAAGTGCATAACTTCTGATTAAAGTGTGAAGCATACAGTTGGTCAGTGTAACACTGAATGTTATGCAACTGTTTGTCAAGGGATTGTCATACAGTGATTGGTCTAAAGTCTGCCATGTCACATCCACCTGGTTGCCTTACATCTTCTAGAATGTCAAGTTTTGATTTTTTCCCTTTTAAAATGGTAGGTAATACTAAATTCTCAAGCATAAATTGAAATTCAGCACATTGAAATTTGCTGGAATCACCTACCTTGGATTTAAAGGAATATAAATATCCATTTGGTTCAGAATTACTGGGTTTTGGGACTGTTTCCATCCTCAGGTGAGGGGGGGGGGCACACCTACTCAGATAGGTTCCTTAGAAAGAGTGAACCTCAATCAGTGGACAACCCCTGTCAGATTCACACAGCCATTAATCTCCTGAGACGAGGCTAATTTGGCGGGAGATAACAAGAAAATATGCAATAAAAATTGTGATAGATCGCACATATGCATGGAACTAGGATAGAAAAGGAGGTAGAAATTTGGTGGATAGGTTTGTAGCACAAATTTCTACCTCCTTTTCCATCCTAGTTCCACATGTGCTGCTTGCTCTATCACAATTTTTATTGCATATTTTCTTATAATCTCCTGCCAAATTAACCTAGTCTCAGGTGATTAAATAGCTGTGTGAATCTGACAGGGGTTGTCCAGTGATTGAGGGTCACTCTTTCTAAGGGACCCATCTGAGTAGGTGTCTCCCCCCCCCCACACCCAAGGGTGGAAACAGATCCAGTTTCCAAAACATGTTTTCTAGTTTTCTAGAATACCAGACAATGGAAAAAGTCCAAAAACCCAGTAATTCTGAGTGTTATACACCATCGTCAGAACCCTTTAGAATTTCTTCATCCATTTCGTTGTACAGTACTATTTGAACTCAACACATTCTTTTGAAATTTTCATTTTCTTCTGGAATAGTTATTTTATAAAATAAATTTTGATTACCAGGTTCTCTGAATCCATTTTAAAATTGAAGGACTAGAAACAGAACTTTGAAATTGTTTCCAGTGTGTACACTTAATCTAAATTACATGCTGATTTTGATGTACAGGGGAACCCCCATTTAATGTTCCTCAGCTTTAAGTTTTCTTTCATTTAGTGTTTAGTTTTAATAATTCCACATCAGTAACCTCAATGTTAAATTTACTCCACCTAAGATTTTCCTTAGTTTAGTGTTCAAATCCACTTGCCCCCAAACAAACCATAAATCAAGGTTTGACAGTCCAGATATTGTACTAGGTTAGGCAGGATTCAAGTTCAATTTGTGTCAGCTGCTTTCTGGCTAATATTTTATAGTCTAGACATTGATCTGAAATATAATGTTAGTATATTATTTCTTTATGCTTAGGATTTTGCATTATATTGTATGGGTTTGCACTGTTCTATATAAATGAAACATATGTAGATAGATGCAACTTTCATATGATTATTATTCTCCGTGGTTTGTTATGGCCTACACATTGGTCTTTGTGATTAGCGTGATCTTTTAATGACCGAAACCAACATTCCATTTTCAGTAAACATAAGATCACTTTGTAGTGTTGAAGTTAGTTTGCTGCAATATATTATGTCCATGAGAGATAATGGAGATTGATTTTCTTGCAGTCATAGACTTTGTACCAGTTCTTCTTCATTCTCCTATTTCATGAATTGCATTTCTGTATATTTTGTATATAAGTCAGCATTTTGCAGTGTTTCGTTAAGAGACATTTAAACCACATGTATATACAGTAAATTTCCATTTTCTCATGTCCAAGCATTTAGAATTTTCATGCAACTAGCAAAAATTTAAAAAAAAATTTACCATTTATAAATTACCTCAAGAATAAAATTGTACTATGCATATGTTTCATCAACACATGGTTGTTCTCCCAGCTGCCACTAGCAGATCTTTGTATCTTCCTCCCTCATGTGGGTGCCACTACATTTGTGGTGGTCTGTGATTACAGTAGAGGTTAGTTGAATTTGTCACAGCATTACAGAATGTCTGAAGCCTCTCAACCACCAATCCAACTGTGTCACCAAACAAGACTCCCATGCAACAACTAAATTGAAAACACTTTTTTTTTTTTAGTATGAAGTGGGAAGGATGAATATATGAGAGATCAGAAGAGGTTGAAATCACATGAAAATTGGTTTCCAAGAGTTTTTTGTCATGCAACCAACAGATTTATGTAACTGAAACATCCCATTCACCATACATGGTAGATAATAGGAAGTTTACTGCATATACATTTTATGAATTAAATTTAGAAAAGCAACTGAGCACACGATAAAGTAAATCCTTTCAGTTAACATTTATTACCAGTGCACTGTGCTGTTGTAATGAGAATGTGTGCATAGTCCAGCTGGCCAAGCATTTCATCTTTTCAGTACAGTAAATCCTTTGCTAATCTGGATGTAGGATAATCCAGATCAAAATATGAAAAATTCTCTTCAGAGTTGAGTACATACTCTAAAAGACGCATGATATTTGGGAAGGGAGATGAGTCACTTGTCTGTTCAGACAAGACTTGACACTTTCTTCAAACCTGCATTATTATGTTCAAAAACAAGTAAAACCTATGACTCTTTTATCAGTGAATAAATGCATTGCCATATTACAGTTTTTAAGTCCTTGTAGTGATTTTTTTATTTAGTTTCATCAGCACTACTTATGTCATTAAATTTTCCATTTATTTGTGTGTGTGTTTTTTTTTTTTTTTTTAGCTACTGTTTGCTTCAGTAACTGGTATGACTTCTCTCCAATTAATTTGGATTAGCAAAGGTTTACTATACTGATCTGTTATCTCCAAGTTAAAATGTAGCTGTTGGCCTCAGAGTACCAGGGATTTAAAATCCTCTATTTCTATGCGATGAAGGATAAAGATTCTGAACTTTTGGGATGTGACACCATGTAGTTTGGTAGATGGGTGCCAGTGCACACTGGCAGCTGATGTTTGATCACAGGTCAGGTGATGTAGGATTTGTGGTGGACAGAGTGGCAGGTTTTCTCCAGGTACTTCAGTTTCCCCTGCCAATTCTCATTCCACCAACTGCTGCAGCTCCATGTTCATTGATCATCTGCTGCTGTATAATCTTGATACTGATGGTGTCATTAAATAACCAACTGAAGAACAAAGGTACCAATGTTTCAGGGGAACCTTCCCCCTCTGTCTTCAGAGTACTCTTCTACCCTATAGATGAAGCCAACAAGTGCCTGTAGAAGTAGGTAAATGATCTGTGGATTGGCATGGTGTAATATCCCAGTGGATTATAATCTTGATACTCACGCCTGTGAGAATCTCAGGTCTCACAATAAACATTAAGTTATGGGAATGTATATGTAAGAACTGGGAAGGTAAAGCTACCCCTGTGCTTTATTAATCCTTTAAAGACTGATTTTTTTTCTAAATAATATATAAAATTTCAGTTTGTACCTCACAGGAGACGCATTATGTCTCCGCTACTAAGCCCAGCCGGTATAATTGTTTTTTATTGTGAGAACCATACAGAACAGAATGCAGAGTTTTAGTATGTTAAAGCAGATGATACTTATATAGTAACCACTCAGCTTTAAAGAGTTAAGCACCAAGCCACAAAGATGAGTGGGGGAGTGGAGGTGTAGCTCCAAGCATATTAACCTTTGGATTATATAAAGATAAGATTTCAGCTTCACATCCTGGCCATTATACCTCCATTGCTCATATGTCTTCATGGTGCGATGCTTAATTAAGCTCAGGGACGATTTTAGCTGTACCTTTAAAAATGGACATTTCTCATCCAATCATCATCAAAAAAGGCTAGAAGCACTATTGTTAAGGCAGTGGTTAAATGTAGTTTTTATTTGAGTTCCAGAATCACTTGTTCAAATATACGCATATTGTTTTATGTGCTTAATTAATCTGAACATTATGTTTGAGCTTTTCAAGCTGTGTTGTTATGTTGAAGAATTTTGACTGAGTGAGAGACCAGGGTGGTCCAACCACAGAATGTTTTCTCATGCGTTTGTGTGTGTAAATATGAGTAAAGGCATGAATGGAACCATTTGCTTTTCCAACAACTTAATTATCTATATCGGTTCTCTACTTTTCTTTGTGTAAGATGTGTCCTTATACAGTTATTTAAGCCAGAGACATGAAATCATGTGTATTAATTGTTGATTGAATGAAATACTTATGCTTGAAAATGAAACATGTCTTTTGTCATAGTTTAATACATTTTTTAACCCTTTTCACTTCCTTGGCACTGCTCACATTAGTGACCTTACACTGCTCCTATTACCATTTCTTATTCCTGCTGTTTCAACTGGAGGGATTGTGTAATGCTGAATGAGAGGGAAAGATAGTGGATCAAGAAAGTTTATGCATACGAAGAGAATTTTGAGGAAGGTGAGGTTGCTAAGCTAAGTCCAAAGGTGTCTGATGTTGGTGTGTAACAGTAATTGTGACTGCTATGTTGGACAGTGGCATCTTGAGTTTCTTTATTTAGACATAACTGATTCAGAAACTGGATAGGTCTCTGTCATCAGGTGTACAGAAGGAAAGATTCCTGCATATCCAAGTCCATCATGAAGAGCTAATCTCAGACACTGGATAATGTAAGAAATTCTTAGCAGCATATGTGTACTGGTAACATAAAAATCATCAGAGATCAGAAAAATTGTCAGAAATTGCAAGGAAATTAAATTAAAATCAACTTAATGATCTTCGAAATTATTATTTTATGGTGACTTGACACCTGCCTCTGTGGTCTAGTGGTCAGAGCTCCTGGCTACAGATCCTGAGGTCCATGTTCGATTCCCGGTGCTACCAGATTTTCTGAGAAGTAGTGGGTTTGGAACAGGGTCCACTAAGCCTGGTGAGGATAATTGAGGAGTTATTTCAAGGAAATAGTGGCTCCAGTCTAGAAAACTGAAATTAACAGGCATGGCGAATCATTGCACTGACCATGCGACACCCTCTATCAGCTAAAGTTGGCACTAACTTCGCTGACAAGTAGTGGTCACTCAGTTGGTTTAGTTTGCTTCCAAACTAAAACCACGGAGTTTAGTTTTTAGGTAACTAATTAATGGGCTATGGGGGATGAGCATATGAAATTGTGTATCGCATTGGATCATGTACATGTTAAGCAGTTTGTTAAAGATATTAATATCTTAACATTGTGTCAGTATGGAAGTTTGGGGTTATGTATGTCTGAAAGACTGTAGCATACAATTTGTACTAGTTGAAGTAATTCACAAAAGTTGATAATTAAATTAAGTTTTTATAATTATGAGTTTATAGTTTCTGCTAGTCTCGCCATATAAAACATATACAAAGGAGTATTTATCATAAATTATTCCCAAGAACTACTTCTACAGAATAGTTTTTGCTGTCTTTTTGTACTGTTTGCCCCACACATTGCTATTCTGTGTGATAGAAGTACTTCCATTGAATATCGTCATGGAAGCTCCTGAGTAGATTATATGTCTTCTGGGACGTGATGCCATGTACCCTGGCAGGTAGTTTGTTACCAACATTTCAGAGAAACCGCTGCCTCCATCTTCAGCATCCCAAGTTACTACAAAAAAAGTTTGTGTAAATCCACATAAATCTTCTTGGGTGATCAGTCATGTTATATTTTTAAATAAACATTCCACCATGATGTTTCTGATTGCCTGAGGAGATAATATTGCATTAATTCACTGTGAGAGCTCCAAATTTTGAACAATGTAAATCATTTATATTTTAATTTTCATATTAGCTCCATGTATGGCTCTGAATACATCCAACCTATAATTTAACTGTTGCTGTCTGCACTCCAGTATAACAAAACACACAATTTGAAGAGCAATTTCATGTGTTCTACAGGTTTGGAATAAAGGTAAAGTTGTCCCTGTGCTTACCTAATTAAGCACTATGCTATAAAGGCATACGGAGTAGTGGATGTATACATCCACATTTTCTTGTCAGCACTAGTTGGAAGGGAGTGGTGAGCTTCACGCCTGAACTGCTTCACCCCCGGGGAAAAAGCCCCCCGGTATCCATTATATAGGAGTCTGGATGGGCACTGAGGCCGGTCTGGATGACATAGAGAAGAAATGTGACCTAATTGTGTTTCAGAATTTAAAGGCCCCTGTGTTTGTTAATGCAACTGGTGAACCCAGGCATTACGATACATTCCATGAGACTTGAATCTGTTCCAGTATATCTCACACGCAGTTGGATCCTAATTTAAGTCACTGTTATTTTTTTTATTGGTAGTGGGGTGGGACTAAGTCCCTTGTACTACGGCCACTTCTGGCCCATTGTACCAGCGCCAGATGACAGGTGAGGGTGATTGTGGAGCAGTTGGTGGAATGAAGATTGGCAGGGGAAACCGAAGTACT